TGTTGTTTAATTCGGGAGCGACGCATTCGTTTGTGGCAAAATATGTGGCTAAGGGGTTGAACTTAAGTGTAACACGAATGATTCCCCCCATGCATATTACTACTGCTACGGGAGAGGTTGAGTTTGTCTACGAAGGCAGGGGCTACATTATTGATTTGATTATCTTGCCTCTGGCCTCTGTCAATCTGATTTTGGGTATGGACTGGTTGTCTCAAAATTGCGCAATGATTGATTGTTGCAGAAAGAGGTTGATTTTATCTCCTGAGAAGCTCGCTGGTTGTACGACTCCTTATCTGTCTGTCTGTCAAACTATTAAAGCCTTGAAGGCTGGTGATCTGAGTTATGTATTCTTGGGTGGATTGGTTGGTGACAAGGAGGAAGAGATTTCAAGTATTCTGGTGGTTAATGAATTTGCTGACGTATTTCCTGATGAGATACCAGAATTTTCACCTGAGAGGGAGATTGGATTCTCCATAGACTTGTTGCCTGGAGTGGGGCCTATTTCTTTGGCTCCATACCGGATATCGCCACTGGAGTTGGCTGAGTTGAGGAAGCATATTGAAGAACTATCTGCAAAGAATTTTATCAGACCGAGTGTGTCTCCACGGGGAACATCAGTAATATTTGTGATAAAGAAGGATAGTAGCATGAGATTGTGTACTGACTACCGGCAGTTGAATAAAGTTACGATTAAGAACAGGTACCCATTGCCACGTATTGATGATTTGCTGGATCACTTGAGGGGTGATTGTGTATTTTCTATGATTGATCTCCGGTCTGAATACCACCAGATTCGGATTAAGCCGGAGGATGTGCCTAAAATGATGTTCTGATCCAGATACGGACACTTCGAATATTAGGTGATTCCTTTTGGGCTTACACCAGATCCGGATTAAGCCGGAGGATGTGCCTAAAATGACATTCTGATCCAAATACGAACACTTCGAATATCAGGTGATTCCTTTTGGGCTTACTAATGCCCCTGCGATGTTCATGGATTATATAAATCGCATTTTTAAACCGTATTTGGACCAGTTTGTGATAGTATTTATTAATGATATCCCGATTTATTCCAAAAGTAAAGAGGAGCATAAAGAGCATCTGAGGACCGTATTGCAGGTGTTGAAAGATAAAAAGTTGTATGCTAAGCCATCTAAGTGTGAATTCTGGTTATCTGAGGTGCAATTTCTGGGTCATGTGATTTCTACTAGTGGTATTGTTGTGGATCCAAGTAAGATTGAGGCGGTAAGTGTCTGGGAACGACCTAAGACTGTGACTGAGATCAAGAGCTTTCTGGGTCATGCTGGTTATTATTGCAGGTTTATACAAGGGTTTTCTGCTATGGTACTGTCGTTGACCCGATTGACTCGAAAGGATACTTCTTTGGTATGGACCCAGGAATGTGAGGAGTGCTTTTTGACTTTGAAAAAGAAATTGACTACTGCTCCTGTGTTGACTCTTCCCGATCCAGAAGGTGAGTTTGAATTATACTGTGATGCTTTCAAGAAAGGTTGGGGAGTGTGTTGATGCAAGAAAAGAAGGTGGATTCTTATGCTTCTAGGCAGTTGAAGCCTCACGAGGAGAATTATCCGACGCACGACTTGGAGCTGGCGGCTATTGTGTTTGCCTTGAAAATCTGGAGGCATTTTCTGTATGGGATGAAGTTTGTTGTGTTCAGTGAACACAAAAGTTTGAAATATTTGTTTGATCAGAAAGAGTTGAACACGAGACAGCGGAGGTGAGTTGAATTCTTATAAGATTAGGATTTTGAATTGACATACCATCCGGGTAAAGCTAATGTGGTGGCAGATGCCTTGAGTAGGAAGTCTGTCAGTTTATCTCATATGATGATGTGGGATAATGAAGTGATTGAGCAGTTCCAGGATTTGAGAATAACAGATTTCTTTGCAGGTAGAATTTGTGACATTGAGATGACTAGAATTGAGAATGAATTACTTGAGAAGATTAAAGAGACTCAAATACGGAATGATAGTGTGAAATACTTGAAAGGCCAGAGCGGTGTGTTTGTCAATGAACAGGGAGTGTTGTTATATCAGGGCAGAATTGTTGTGCCCAAAGAGTTAGCGGAGGAAGTAATGGTCGATGCCCATAAGGGTCAGTATGCTATTCACCAGGTGCTACAACAATGTATCAAGATCTGAAAGTTAAGTTCTGGTGGCCTGGAATGAAAAAGGATGTTGCAGATTATGTATCAAAATGTTTAATTTGTCAGAAAGTGAAAATATAACATCAGAAATCTGCTGGTTTACTTCAGCCACTGGATATACCAAAGTGGAAATGAGAGAGCAATTCAAGTAACAGGAAACTCATTTGAATTTTTACCTATCCGAATATAGTTCAGTCTTGAGAGAAGCCCTTAGTGAGTTGAGAGAAGTTATGAGAACCCCTTAGTAACTTGAGAGAAGTATTATATGATAGTTAGACAATTAATATTATTATTCCGCATTTAGTTTTCAGTTATGATCACAACTTTTGCTCATTACGCTTTATTATTGTTTTAAATGCTCGCGTAATGAAAATGAAAAAGTTTACTCTCATTTTTATAAATGAACTGCTGTGATTGTAACTGCGCTTAATATCATAATCAATGTTAACAATACCGATGTACAACGGACTGTTACAACAAGGAATCGTAGAATTCTGCCATTCTCTATCATTGTGACTAATAATATTCCAGTAATTTATTTCATCATTAATTTATTATATTAATATTAAAAAAATCAAAAACAGCATTGGTGTTAGTGTTGCACTTTGTTGTGTATTATTTTTATCGTTTTACTTGAAAGAAATCCTCTCATGTGAACACAAATTGTAATGTGGGTCCCACTTGATCGCTCGAGGATTCTTTATTTATGTTGCTTTCGCCTTCCATTTTTTTTTATCTCGTGGAGGAGCATAAGATCTTAATTCTTGATTCGCCCTGCATTCAAAATTAGTTTCATAGCTGACTCAAATAGTCAAAACTTATAGCGATATCAGGGAAACCTACTCGTCTCAAAGAGATAATTAGAGTTGATATTAAAAAAATTAAATTAAAATAAATTATTTTAATTTAATTCTATTCTAGATTTTGGTAGTCATCTCATCTCAAGGGATTTTTTTAATATACACCCGGTGTATAATCTTTTGAGTGTACCTTTTCCAAAAATGGAAAAATAAATTTCCCTTTAAATTCCTCTCTTCTTTTCAAATTCCTTCTCAATCCTTTTTTCTTCCCATTTTTAATTAAGGACTATCATGTCTCGGCCCACAATAAATGAGCTCCATCTCAAGATGTCTATAGTATAAATTATACCAAATTCAAACTTTATTGAATTTAATTTAAATTCTTTTTAATTATTCATATAATTTAAATATTTTTAAGTTATTTATTTATTTTTTTCGGTCGAGAAGTTATTTATTTAAATTTTATTACTAAAATAAAGTTGGTAGAATTGATTTTATATTGATTTTTGAATTATTTTGTACACAATGACTTTAAGGTGATAGATAAAAATGGAATAAGGTGGTTTCTTTCAATGTTATTAAAATCGGCCCAGTTATTGACTCGGTCGAGGTACTGGGTCACTGGGTCATTGGTTCAACCAGTGGGTCACTGGTTCAACCGCATGACCCGGTAATTATATTCAATTTTATAATTTATATTAAAAAATTATAAACATACTCAAATATCTAAAAAAAATGATAAAAATTTCAAATATTTTAATATAAAAAATAATAAATCCCATATTATTATCCAATAAAGGATCAAACAAAATATAATGATCGTGATACGAGGCTTTAGGTTCAGAAAACGACATCTCTAACTATAAATCAAATCAAAATTTTCTAGATAGTGCATAATTGAGATAATATTAGTGTTATAGGTACATAACTTATGTAAGTCAATAAGCAAAATAATATTCAAATATATCCATTATGATTTTTTTGAAAAAATAAATAATTTAATTTTTTTTTTGGGACCGGGCCGGGTCATCGGTTAACCGATCGGGTCACCGGTTTTCATGAAAACCGGCCGGGTCGGACCGGGTCACACCGGTTCTGATGCATGGCCGGTCCGTTGCTTCAATCAGACCGGTTATATGACCGGTTCTCGGGTCGACTCGGTCGGGTCGGTCTGGTTTTAATAACACTGGTTTCTTTGTTTAATTATTTTTAGGAAAAAATGTTTATCCTTTTAAATGACACAACTTATATCCTTTCACTTTCACAAAGAGGTGGGACCCACACTTTTATTTTTTTTGTCAACTCTCTCTCCTCCTTTATCTATTTCTTTCTCTCTCTTAAAATGACATAACTTTACATCTTTTAAAATGATAAACACTTTACCCTTATTTTGAACGCTTAATTGGTCTTGAACACATTAGAGAAATGGTTTGAAAAATTTGTATAAGTTTCATAATTATTTTATTAATTCAAAATTTAAGTATTTGAAATGTATTATATTATCATTTAAATAATTTTAAAAATATGAATTTTGTGAATTATTTATAATTTTATTATTAAATATTTGAAAAATATTACAATATTAGTGAACTGAATGTATTTATTGTTTATGTGATACACTTTTATTGGTTTTGAATATATTTATTATTGTTTATGTTAAGAAAAACTTATTAATAATGTAAGGGTTCGCTTTTTCTACCGTCAATGTATTGAGTCCAAAACGATGTCGCTTTGAGGCAAAAATTAAGGTATTTTTATAATTATAATTTATTTCAGGGTTATAATAATCTTTTTTATTATAATTTTTTAATTTTTTAATTTTTAATCTAAAATGACGTCGTTTTGAGAGTGAAAGTAGATAATTTATCTACGTTTACCGGAGAAACATTAAAGTCGTAATTTAATAACTTAACAAATATATGTTATTTATCAAAGTTTTATTTTCCCCCCTCAAATAAAATAAGACGGTAAATAAAATCCAGGAAGAAATTGTGTATTTATTGGTCTCCACATTCGGATATAAAACCAGTCCCAAATCTGCATAGTGAGAAGCTCTCAGTCACACACACACACACACTCAATTGCCCTTTGCAACTTCTAGAGAAAGAGAGAGAGAGAGAATCAGAATAAGGAAGATGGAGGATACGAAACCCAGCGAAATAAGCAGTTCAAAGATGTTCGGAGGTTACAACAAGAGGTTCAAACATTTCAGCCCTACGCTCGGTTGCTCCATGACCTTCCACATCTATTTCCCTCCTTCTCCTTCTCAATCTCACAAATTCCCTGTGAGTCCCTTGCATTTCTTATGGCAATTCTTATTAGCTTGTTTGGTTATGAATGATTTCAAAGATGTTTTGATTTGGTTATGAATGAATGAATGACAAGGTACTGTACTGGCTTTCTGGTCTCACTTGCACCGATGAGAATTTCATTTTCAAATCGGGTGCTCAACGTGTGGCTTCCAACGAGAGTATTGCCTTAATTGCCCCTGACACTTCTCCAAGTAAGTTTGTTTCAAAAATTCATTTGGGTTGCCCCTTTTTGTCATTCGTCTCTCCCTTTTAAATTATGCATATTAGTACTTTTGAAAGATTAGTAACTTGTTTGTTATTATACACAAAAAAAAAAAATGCAATCCCATATGAGAAATGGATCCTATCACGTGAGTTTTGAGTTTTTCATGTGATCTTGTGAGGTGAAAATTTGTGCCATATCTATTTAGAGAAGGGAATGGACTCTTTCATATGATGGAAGTAATGTGAGATGATCTCAGTCGTGCATAGATAAATCAAAGATTATCTTTTTTCTCAATCTTTATCCTTGTGTGCTCTCCATAGCCGCTGATTTATCTGATGTGAACGGCTGAGATCGTCTCACATGATCTGAATATATGAGAGGATACACTCCCTCAAGAGTGAGATAGATACAAATTTTTTGAAAAATTTGACATGAGAGGATCCGTTCCCTTTGGGGACCAAAAAGGGAAAGGAAAATGTGATGGTGATTCGAAACCGAAGTCGTCTAATCATGTTTGCGTGCTTAAAATAGAAATATTACTGTTTAATGGTATGCTGCTTTGTTTTCTCACTTTTGAACGTAATGATACAGGAGGCTTGAATGTCGAAGGAGAAGCAGACAGCTGGGACTTTGGTGTAGGTAAGCCACTTGAGGCCATTATATTTGGGTTTGAATAGGCAAGAGGATTTGTTGGGCTTGAGACTGAGCCAATTTGAAAGTTGACAGACTCAAGGTTAAGCCAGGTTCATGCCTGGGTTTTGGTCGTGCAAATTGTTTGTCATTTGAGAATGTTAAACGTGAAATGAACATATAAGAATTTCAAAAGTTTAAATTTTCAAAAGTTCCAGCACCTAAATTCTTTACCTAGCATATAAAATCTGAATTCATGCATAAATGTTCAATTAATCAAATATCTAGACCATGGATTTACTATAATGTGCCAATGGATGTTGAAGCTTGTTGTGGCAGTGCACAACTCAGCCCTTAAAATCGTGGTTGTGGTTGTCAAACCCATGAGTCAACTTGTAGAATCATACGAGTTTATGATTCTAGATAGAGAAATCAAGTTGACTCGCTTTATAACTTGTTTCTGGGTGGACTTGTTCAGACAATCTCAAAATCGCTTAGACTTTTGAGTCATTTTCTGCTAATCGTTTGTCAATTCGTCAAGCGTCCATCTGAAAAGTCTTCAAAGCCTCTGCAAAAACCTAGCATGAAAGCCTTAACATTGTCAACCCAGCGAATCCATTGTCAAACAACATCCTTCTTTTATGTTGATGTCCATCTGTGGACCTGGCAACAACCCTGTGAACCCGTTGTGAAGGAGCTTTGTGCAATGCCGCAACCTGAAAAGAGAGAATTGAAGTCCATATCTATTTTTCGAAATCTAGGTCTATTTGTGTTCTGCTTCAATCTCCATTTCTATCCGTTCTTTCAATCTAGCTTCAATGCGCGCTCTGTTTCTGTTCTGCTCTTTCAATTACTAACTTAAGTTCTGTTCTGTGCTTTCAAATATAACCATAAGTAAGCAATTTCCCACTAGTCTGTTATGCTGAGCATTTTTCTGTTGTGTTCTTATATCTGAACAGCAGAAAAATGGGAGTAAGACCTGCAATGCTATATGGAGCTGAATGTTGGCCAGCTCATAGGCAACATGAGCATAAAATGGGAGTAGCAGAGATGAAGATGTTAAGGTGGATGTGTGGTTATACGAGGATGGATAAGATAAGAAATGAAGATATTCGACGAAAGGTAGGAGTACTACCGGTGGCTGAGAAGATTAGAGAACATAGATTGAGGTGGTTTGGACACGTAATGAGAAGGCCCCTGGATGCTCCCGTAAGAACATAAGTTTGTTACCAAGAGCTCAACACAAAAAAAGGTAGAGGTAGACCGAAACTTACTTGGGGGAAGGTAGTAAAACAAGATTTAATGGAGTGGGATATAGATTGGCGGACGGTATGCCTTAGAACGGAATGGAGAAAAGCTACAAGCATGGTGGAGGGTTAGACCCGTTGTTATTCCTATGTTCCAGATGGTCCATTTTTAGTCCTTTTCCCCTTCATTTCCCCCTCTTCTTCTTTTTCCTTTCTTTTTTACTTTTATATATGTATATATATATATATATATATATATATATATATTTACTATTCTATTTATTTATTTTTATTTTTACTTTTATTTTTATTTTTTCAACATTTTTGTATCTTTTATTTGGGTTCATCTACCACCGACCCCAATTAATTTGGGATAAAGGTGTTGTTGATGTTGATGTTCTTATATCTGAAGTTTGAATTTGTTTTCTTTTTCCATTATAGAATGTCCTGAAACTAATGATGAGCACTTCATTATTTTGGTTACTTTATTGTGAAGTGGAATGCTGAATATTTATTATGCACATGGCATAAATTATCTTTGGTTACTACCGTAGTTTCTTCAAATACTATTTTGGTATTAGGTAAATGTAACATCCCCAGCCTCAAATGATACTTAACAGAAACAGCGGAAGACTTAAACTTACGTAAGTACGAGCTAACTTTTTCTTTTACATAATCCTTTTTCACATGACCTAATCACATAGCACACTTTTCCTAGTTCAATTCTTATTCGACGAAGACGAAAATCGGACAGAGTAACCTCTATAAATTGGACAACTGGGGATTTGCAAATCCCACGCTCAAGGTATCCTGATAAACAGTTTATACAGTATATACTTTCAGAAGTACCAAATATCCGTATAGGATCATATACCCATCCATGGGCACATGCATAACTTAGCTCTGTGCCACTACGTCTAACAACATACGTATTTCAGCACATGCACATATCTGAATACACAAATGTACATGCATCGAATATGAACATTATACAACAATACATCTTTTTCAAAAATACGTCTAAAATAAATAGTAGCCTCCAGCCACCCAGAACTCCACATCCTCATACTAGTACCTCTAGCCACGATTAGTGTCCTTCTCCCATGAGGCTCTTCAATTAACTGTGTTCCTGAAATCATATCCCCAAACGGGATTAGAGATGAATCTCTAGTAAACTCCAAGTTTATGGAAAACTCTCCATACCCTGAGCTCACTTCCTGCATGACAGTCAGATACAGAATATACAAAACATCATATAAGCAATTATCATAACTGAACAAAGCATATATACATATCTTATCAAAGACATACGCAGTCATTCCCAAGGGATGACCTCAAGCGGAAATCAACGCACGTAACAAATATCATTTACAAAAATCATCACAATACTCACATCAGAACAAAACGTGTTATATCAGAGACGTACGCAATCGTTCCCAAGGGATGACCCCAAGCGGAAATCAACGTACGTAACAAATATCATAACTAAACAAAACATATACACATATCTTATCAGAGACGTACGCAGTTATTCCCAAGGGATGACCCCAAGCGGAAATCAACGTACGTGTTCCCAAGGGAGTACCCCAAGCGGAAACAAAAACATATCAGATATTTACACAGTCAATCCCTAGGGATGACCCCAACCAAAAACATATCTTCACTGAGCAAAACATATATACAAATCTTATCAGAGGCGTACGCAGTCATTCCCAAGGGAGGACCCCAAGCGGAAATCAACGCACGTGTTCCCAAGGGAGGACCCCTAGCGGAACCAGAACATATCAGAGGCGTACACCGTCAGTCTCAGGGGAACCCAAGAAGACATCAGTGTACCATACAATCAATGGCCAAAGATCAATACAGAAATCATATCAGAACAAGTCATATAACAAATGTGTACACAATCAATCCCAGGGGAGGACCCTAAGTGGGAATCAGTGTACGTGTTCCCAAGGGTGGACCCCAAGCAGAACTCAACAAAACATATCATATTAACACATATCAAAGTAAACACATCAAAACAAAACATATCATATTATCATATAACTCTATATGAATGCATCTATATCATATATCTCATACATATCATACAATCCGACCACAGTCTGTACACTATGGCGGAACACAAAGTAGGAGCGAACCCTATAAACATAGAACTTACCTCTTGGAGCTTTAACAATAGTCTTACTTGTCACACAAGTCACTAATCTTCCTCCAAAAGAATCCAAATGTTCGAAATCCCTAGGCACACCTAGAGAAAATTTCAAAACAAAACTCAATAAAATTATACAATGTTATGTAATTATACAAGACACACACTTTATTGCTTTCACCTTTTCTCACAAAGCTCATGCCAATTATATGTTAACCCACAAGTCAAGACCATAATTCTTAAACTCACATATTAGACCATTTTAGGGTGATTACTAATTCAATAAGCAACCACATGGTTTCATGCTTACATAGGGTCCTAGAATGACATAACCATGCCTCTAAAATACTCATTACAATTTTTAGAACATCCTAATCTACCTAGACCCCATACAGCCAAAGCCACATATAAGGAAGGCAAGACGATCTTCTCTTTGTTTTCACATAATTCGTAACTTAACATACTCTTGACTTGTCTCTTGAGTCATTCAAACACTCACTTTATCAAACATACACTTCCAATATTTTTCTTTAGCCCAAATTAGTACAATCACCACTTTCACACGAGTGCAACCTATAGCTAATGTTTAAAGGTGATCAACAATTCATACAACACAGGGAACGTTAAGCTATTGGCTAAAATTTCTCATATTCTTATAAAACAAAACTTACCCCTCTTTGGTAAAATTTCAAGAATCTTTATCTTGAGCAAATGTTGCTTCCAATGGGTGTTCCTCCACCACAATGTCACAAGGGACAACTCTATAACATGAAACAATACCAAACAACAATTATTTTTCCATCAAAAGTCACTATTCACGTTGTTACTATTCATCCAAAACCTAGCATTCTCATTTCTTCATGAAAACTTGAAAAGAGTTGGATATACTTACCACTAAACACCCAAGAATGGAAAGAGGAACGTTCTTCAAGCTCCCATAAACTCTATACCACTCAAAATACCAAAAATTCAAGAATATTTTCGTAGCTTTGAGGGCAGCGATCTCTTTTTATAATGCTTCCCACACAAAAATAAGGGTTGGGCTGTGTTCCTCTCAAAATTCTAAGAAGATTTGGCTTTGGAACGACTCGATTCCGACAAGTGTAGCTCAAGTTATGATTTTCTCAAGTTTTTCTCTCTTCCTCCAATGGCTTCCACGAAATTGATAAGGAAGATGGCTGATGGGTGTCTTATATTTTTAGTGACCCAATGTACATGTTTTATTCACTTACGCTTATTTAACTAAATTCAATATCTTATTAAATGACTATTTACCCATTTCATCCAAAAGTAACTTTGTGGCGTTCCCAACCAAGGAATAACGTTCCCACCATGGGAACGTCATTCCCGCTTTGAGAACAACTTACTGAACATCGTTCCCACAATGGGAACAGTTTACCGAAAGTCGTTCCCGCTCTGGGAACGACCAAAATTCATCAAATCAAGATCTAATTTCCTTTTTCTGAGCTCATTTACATTCACTTTTATTCCCTAAGGAACAATATGAGCAATTCATAAGTGGGCCTTTGCACCGTTTTTTAACGAATTAACTGTGAATCACTATTGTGCACTGTTTGCACGCAAAATCGCAAAACTTCTAAATTTATCATTTTTGGTCTAAACATGACTTGTTTGGCATATATTGGACTTCCATATACTTATCACATCATTTATTCATTTCTGGACTCTACCGGTTGCTTAAACAACGGTACAAAATACCCGACAAAATCACTATTCATGAGATTTTCGCGAAAAGGGTCAGATTATACCAATTCACATTCTAAACACTTATTTGGCATCCAAATCATCAAATTAAATCTCTATAATAAAGATTTACCGGCGACGGTCATTATAGTAAACTCTTGTGAGTTAACAAGTCAAGTCTACGGACGCATGGCGAGTTTACATAGACTCTCGAATTTGACAACCTTGCTAAAAATTCACCCAATGCAGTTGGACTTGGATGATAAAAGGGAAGGTGCTGATTATATAAAGTTGTTGCAGAGTGCTACTAGAGCATCTTAACATGCATAGAAATTAAAAAATCCAAAATGTAGTCATAGATTTATGAGAATGAGACAAATGAAAAGTTATTTTATCTGCCTCTGAATTTTAGCCTGTTTGTGATATCTCTGCTTTAGCCCCCCTTTTTGATAGGAAAATAATAGCTCATTTTGTTTGGAAGACACTTATGTGTGGAATAATCTTATTAGTTACATTTTCATTTACAGGAGATATCTTAATTGCATATTTACATTCTGGAACAGGTGCAGGATTTTATCTGAACGCTACACAAGAGAAGTGGAAGAATTGGCGCATGTATGACTATGTTGTCAAGGAATTGCCAAAGCTTCTAAGCGATAACTTTCCACAGCTTGAAACATCAAATGCTTCCATATTTGGTCATTCTATGGGCGGGCATGGTGCTCTAACAATCTACCTGAAAAATCAGGATAAATATAAGGTGTTGATGATTATGCAACTGAAAACTTTTTGTTTTGATATGAGGAGTTACTATGAACATCTTGGCAAAGTCCTGAAAATTATGGATAGTTTTACTGTTGAAATAGCTTTTTGATTGTTATTACTTGCCTTCCGTAATATATTTCTCCACTACAAGCTGACTGCATTGGTATTATCATTATTATTATTATTTCTTCTGTATGTGAATATATTGATATTTCATTTCTTGGGATCTCAATTGCATTTGGGCAGTAGGAAAATGTTCCATGATTTATTTTGCTTAAGGGTTAGTGGTTTCGGATATTTGTTTTTAGGATATCTGGTAATTTTGATGAGTATAAATCTTATCTTTTACATTATACTTTTCCTATTTAGTTTTTGGTTAAAATATCTGAGCAATGAGGATGTTCATTAAAGTGTATGTTTCCCATATTAGATTTTTGGTACTAGTGATGAATCTATCTTTTGTTTCTTTTGAAGTTCGGATGGAATTTTCCTTTTCATTTATTTTGGTTATGGAAGTTTGAAGTGGATAGGTAAAGAGTGCTGGGAACTTAATGATTGTTACTTAATCTTTATTAGAACAGCGGCAAATGAATAATACTGACTATATGGCAGTTAGGAAGGCACGAAACTTGGGAGTTTCGGATATAGCTAAATGAACTAATGTATCTTTTTAGATTATGGATAGATATTGAGTTTGTGGGGAGATGAATAAGTGTTTGGATTTTAAAATTTATTTATGTTATAAGCTTATATACACATTCGGGAGGCATACGTGTGAGTTAATGTTCTTTGGAAAGGTATACTATTGAAGTTCGTTGACAGGCTTTTTCCTTTTTTTATGGTTTCTTGGTATAAAGGACCTCCTTGGTAAGTGGTTTTGTAGAGCATAATCAGAAAATTATGTGATTGTAGTAAAAGATAATTTCACGTGTTGTCTCAAAGGTGGGTAAGGACTCTCAGGTTAGATTGTGGGTGGTGGTTTTCCATTTATGGATGTTGCTTCCTATCTCTATCGTCTTTCTTCTCTGCATGAATATTTTGTTCTAAATTTTTACAACACTGAAGGTTAGGACACTTCTTGGAACTTCCATTTCTTTTGGAGATTGTCTAATAGAGAAGCTTCAGAATTGGAATTGAGGGGCAGCACAAGGTTTTCCTATATCAGTAGGTTTGTACCAAAGACAACATGGAGTCCTTATTTTCTTACCTTTGTGTGACTAATTGGGCACATTTAAGAGCCAGTGCCTATATATGCTTCTTACAGATGATAAAATAATCCTGGTTGATGAGTCGAGGAGTCAATTCTATTTGTAAACTGAATAGAAGATTTGGAATTAAGAGGATTTCATTTAAGTAGGAGGAACACAGTATGCGAAATGCAAACTTAACAAGACGTGATTTGTGGATTGCAGAGAACCACAAATTTCCAGTTAAGGTATCTTTGATCCATATCCATTTTACAAAGTGATGGGGATGCAACACATACGATTCAAGTTGGATGGATGATGGATGCTTCAAACATAATTTGTGATTGCAAAGTGCCTTGCAATCTGAAAGGAAAATTCAATCGGATAGTTATAAGCCCAACAGTGCTCTATGCTAGTGAATATTGAGCAGTAAAGTTCCAATAAGAGCAAAAAAAGAAAAAAAGAAAAGGTATAGCGGAGATGAGAAGGTTGGAGTAACACCTGAAACTCATTTTCAGTTTATTGTTCAAAATGCATGTAAGGTGGAATTGTAATCTGCATAGGAATTTTGTATTCATAACAAATTAAGTTTGTTATAAGTTAGAACCAATTATCTCATCCTTTTGGTGACATTTTGAAATTTGCAGAACTCCATTTCCTACAGAACATAAAATGTAACTTGGCATCGTAAGAACTTTATTTATTATTTGGATTCTAACTTATTTTTCTGTTGTATTTCTTTACATGCTTGTTCCAGTCAGCTTCTGCCTTTGCACCAATAGCAAATCCTACAAATTGTCCTTGGGGAGAGAAGGCATTCACAAATTATCTAGGTGGCAATAAATCTGATTGGGAGGTAAGTTATAGGGGAAACTGACATGTTCACTTTACTTAATGAGTCTTGATATTTCATCTTATAATAAGTTGAAAAATGCAGGATTATGACGCCACTTATTTGATAACAAAGTTTCCCAATGTATCTGCCACCATTTTGATTGATCAGGTAAAAGATTGTGTGGTTTTTGTTTATTTCCTTAATAAAAACTTGTGAATTATATCAAGTATGACAAAATTTTAGTTGAATGTATCCTGTAGGGTTTTATTAGATTCTATGCAGTAAAGTTGTGTTTAAGAAATTCAGTTTTAGTAGCATGATGAATAAACATGTACTTATTTTGTTGTTCAATTCTTCCTGGTTTTATCTGCTTCTTACTGTTGCTCTATTTTTCAGGGGGAAGATGACAAATTTTTGAAAGATCAACTGCTGCCTCACAAATTTGAGGAGGCATGCAGGAATGCCAAAGTTCCACTACTGTTACGATTTCAACCTGGTTATGATCACTCTTATAATTTTATTGCCACATTCATAGATGATCACATCCGACATCATGCTCAAGCTCTTAGGCTTAGTTAAATTGTGTGCACTCTGACAACCTAGAACTATTTTGTGAGGCTCTTCTGAACCTACTTATCTGTGCGTGCTTGTTATACTCTTGGGTTATGTTTGACTATGGATTGAAACTTGTCTTCATGCCAGTCAGTTCAAAACTAATACCATGTCTATGGAATGTATAATTATTTTAAGTTATTATAGATTAACATAAAATAGAAAGAGGGCAAGTCTCAAAGAGTGGTAAAACTGTTCGTGATTGAAAGGTCACGGATTTGAATTTTAGAAATAACATATTTACAATTATATAAGAGAAATGCTGTATACAAGGATTGTTTTCATCACACCTTTGTTAGTTCTGATTTAATGGAGAGTGGTTCATAATTAACATAAAACATAATGTTTTATATAATTTATTGTTACTTAGGGATTGGATCATTTGAACCTTTTTTTTAATTTAACAGCTCATCTGAATTGTTGATTTTCGTAATTTGATGGCTGACTTGTTAAAAATTGACGGAAATTGAAGGTTTGGATTAAGTGTTAGATTTTTTAATTTGTCAAATTTTCTTGCTCCTATTATTATTATGATTATTATTATTATTATTATTATGGGGAGAGTTATATTTATAACCTAAAAGATTTATGAGTTTGGTGTTTGTCATTTTAAATGACATAAGTTATGTCGTTTTAGGAGAGTGATAGATACAAAAAAAATAGAAATCATGGGAGAGAGAAAGTGAGTGGTTTTTTTTAATTTAAAATGTAAATAAAAAAAATCATGTTGTGTCTATTTTTCTCTTAAAATGACATAACTTTATGTCAATTAAAATGACATTTTCCCCAAGATTTAAACTTATTAATTACCGTCAGATTATTTGGTTAATCAACGGTCAACAGTCTTCTCATATAACTATGATAGTTTCACTCTCACCCTCACCGTTGCTGTTGCAAACGTTGTTTTTCCCTCTTGCCATTCTCAGCAATTAAAATTGTTTCACGAATTGCAAGTAAATTCAATAACTGTCAAACGTATTGTATATCAAAAGGCTTAAGTTTGTTCACTTTTTTGGCCAATTTTGATTTGAGCCCTAAATTGAAAATAAATATTTGGCTTCATGAAAAACGGAAAAGATAATGGGTTGCTGACGATTTCATAGGAGACTATTTTATACCATACCAGGTTCAGTTTTTGAATTTCTATTATCAGATATACCAAAATTAGAAAAGTTAAATATATCGTTAACATCAATTGGGGGTAATTATAACCTAATAATTTAGAAATAATTTTACCATATAACAATACTTTAGAATTAATATATGGAGGGAGGGATTGGGATTTTCTTGTGATTTGGATTACTGAGAATGGAAACAGCAAAAGATGGGTAGTAGAATTAATATATGGAGGGATTGAGGTTATCTTGTGGTTTGGATTACTGAGAATGGAAACAGCAAAAGAGATAGGGAGAAAGTTTGTAGAGAGGAAAAGAGAAATAACGTTTGCAGAGGGAGATGGTGAAAGGAAGTGAAACTGTCAAAGTGAAATATTATATGAAATGATTGTGCATTGTTGATTAATCAAATAATCTGATGGTAATTAATAAGTTGTAAATATAGAGGGGGATATTTTTACTATTAAAAAAAATTCACTACCAATCCATTACCTATCTAATCATTATTGGATCGTTATTTTCTCTCTCTTCAGAAACTTTTCAGCATTGTCTCTTTCTCTGATTCAATGGTGATTAGATAGGTAGTAGGTTGGTAATGAGTTTTTTTTTGTAAAAAGAATACCCTCATCCCCTATTATTATTATTATTATTATTATAAAAATAAATATCAAATAATAAGCCAAAAGTAAAAGGGTACTCTTGATTGATAAATACCATAAACTTGGCGCTCACTAGTCACGTAAATAATTTTGGTAGTTAATTATTAATTAATTGTGGTTATTATTTATTAATTAATGATAGGGAAAAAAAAATTAACTACTTGTTATGATCTGATAGATCGTGAATATCCAATCAGAGATTGCTAATTTAATATTGGATCTGTATGCTCTCTCTCAGGTACCTATAGAAGAGGTACCCTAGAGATCAGCGGATCACTGTGCACAATAAAAGAAACGACATAGTCAAGGCGTGAGGTGTGTGCACAGTGACAAGCTAAGAGAGAGGGTTTAGAGTGTGTGTACCTTATTGATTTAACCTTTATTTATAGATGAGTTACCTGACAGGAGCAAATTTTTGGGCCTCTTAGGAGTATTTGAGGTCAAATTGTTGATCCATTGCTGCCATAGTAGGATTAGTATAATTAAGGAATATTTTCTTAATTCCCTCTTAGTTGTTAGCTCTATTTAGGCCTTCTAGAATGTGTGGGCTGCTTAGCTGTCTGGATAAGATCGTCATTAATAGAAGATTCCTTTCCTGTTTGCGCTGTCCTTTATTGGACCTTCTAGAATATAGGCTTTTGCCAAGTCCATAACAGTTGCCCCCCAGCCCGGTAGTTTGGTTGTCCAGGCTGCCGTGATGTAATAGTAGTAATCTCTGAATTTCCTTTGCGTGTTTTATTCAAGTTAGCAGTCTAATTCTCGCTTTGACTTGGCATCTTCATTGAAGCAATTTTCTTTGGGATGGAACTTTTCTTGGCCGACTTAATTGGGTCAGCGATTGCAGTTATTATCTCTGTCATTCATTCAGCCAGTTTTAGTAAACCGAGTATTGAATATGTTGTTTACGTATTTCTCCCTCAACCTTTTTTGGCTGAGGTGGTGCTTTGGTGAGGCAGTGTTTGCCTCCTTTTAACATTGAGCTCGGCTTCTCCTTCCGAGGCTTTCGCTTTGAGCCCAACTTCTTGCACTGTGGCTTTATTGATTCAGATTTAGCTTTTCAACGTTAACTGAACAAAATGACCTAGCCAAGGTCTCTCATGCGAATTCTGCTTTTTGCTTTTAACCTAATTTTCTTAATTAGGTTTTCAAATTTGAGGCGTCATGGTGTCTTGATCAAGGTCGTACCAATCTGCCCCTTATTTTCAAGCTTGATTTCATTTATCACAGCTTGTACACATGTTGTTTATTTTGACAACATTTAGGATTCAGAAGCGTCCTTCTGTTTTCCTATGCCTCAGCTAGAAGCCACAGTCCTGCAGTGTGATTTTTATTTTTAACCTGTTTTCTATCCATGTTCTTGCACGTTGCGAGACGTAGGTTTCCAATACCTTGGCTTTATAATATTTAACTTGGCCAGAGTGTCAGTTTTTGACTTCGACTTATTTCGCCGTTTTGACTTGTGAGCCATTTCAGATTGAGGTGTGATCCTTTTTCCAGGATCCCATCTCTCCAAACCCGTCTTTATCCCAGATTTTTATCTTGGGTCTTTATCCCGGATTGGGGTGTGATCCTTTTTCTAGGATCCCATCTCTCCAAATCCGTCTTCATTCTTTATTCCAGATTTTTATCCTAGGTCTTTATCCCGGATTGGGGTGTGATCCTTTTTTCCAGGATCCCATCTCTCCAAATCTGTCTTCATTTTATCGCGGATTGGGGTGTGATCCTTTTTTCCAGGATCCCATCTCTCCAAATACATCTTCATTTTATCGCGGATTGGGGTGTGATCCTTTTTCCAGGACCACATCTCTCCAAATCCGACAGTCTGGGTGTCCGGGGTGCATATCTGATAAGTATAGTTGGGTTGCTGTGCATTGCTCTTGATCGTATTTGTGAATATTTTATTCTCAGTGCCTAGAAATCGGCCATGTTCATGGTCCAAGCCTTGTTTAGCCTTTATTCTGTGATGTATGGCTTCAACTATCTTGTTATGTTGAATTCTTACTTCAGACATCCTCCTTTGCTTTCCTACACGGTAGTTTGGGTGTCCAAAGTGAAGTCTACTGAACCATAATCTTGTTGGTCAAACTTCCGTGACCGAGGTCTTTATTGGAAGTAGGAAAGTTTTTCCCTTTGACCTCTTTGCCAAAGTTTTATTGATTCATTGATCCATGTTCTGAATCCATGGATTCTTGTCAATCCGTGTTTCAGATTTATTTTTTCTTATTTCGTTCTTTCTTCGATGTCGAGCTTCATGAGCCGGGTATCGTGTATGTTGTTTCAATATTCATCCCTCAACCTTCTTGGCTGAGGTACGTAGCTCGAACTAGTTGACCAGTCTTTTTGACTGTCTTACCGAGATCTTGACTTATAAGGATTGCTGCTTTCCTCTTTTAATTTTGATTGCTTTCCTGCACTTGCCCCCCCAGTCCAGCAATCAGGAAATTCGGTTTGTCAGGCTATATTACTTTAATCCAAGTATCTTTATACTGACTTGATTTTGTAATTTGCCTTTTTTGTTGATTTGAGGATCTTTGAGATCCCTTTTCACTGATGTTGCTGGGTTTTGTTCCCAGTTCTTCGCATGTTTCGTTTGCATAGTTGAATTTCTCCTTGCTATAATTAGCCCATTTTTATATATTGTAGCTTTATTTATTTGAGCTCGGCTTTGCCAGAATCTTGTTGTGACATCGTCTTCTGTTTCAACCCGATTGTGCATACCGTGTCTTTCACAGATTTTAACGTGATCAGAATCATTCACCTTTTTGAGTCTGGCTTGCATTGTGGTGACGTTCAGCTAACAGGGTGAGACTCCCGCTGAATGCAGTTCTATTGCCGGGTTCTTATCCAGGTCTTCTTATCTTATGTTTTTGACGCTTTTCATCCATTTCATGCCTTTGGATGATTTTTCCTTTATACTCGCATCTTGAGTTTTATGCCTCCCTGATAACTTAGATATATTTTTCTAAGTATTTCAGATTTATTGGTTTGCCAGGTTGCTTGAGGTCTTTAGCATTTTTCAACACTTCTAAGCATTTGACACTTTCTTGATTTGATAAGCAGATTTTGCATATCTGTTATTTAGGTTTTTAACTTAGACAATTTTCTAAGTACTTCAAACCTTGTTAAAATTTTCCTCTATCCGAGATGGATTATATCTATAATTCAGATATCCTCCATCCGAGATGGGTTATCTTTCCAACTCGGATATACATTTCTCGAGTTCTTATTCATTGACCTGGCCGGGGTCAAAAACATTATACGGATTCCGCTTTTTGTCACTCTCCACGATGCATGTTTGTTTTAACTTAACGTTTTGTTAAGTGAGCATTGATGAAGGTGATCATTGTCGCCTTCAATCATGACCTGGGTTTCGTAACCCGATACTATCCAAGGTAAAGGCAGTATTATCACATGTCCCACCTGGGTCTTTTGACCT